CCAGTTATCGAAGGCATTTGTTTATGTGACATAGGCCTACATTTATTACAAACACAGTGCAGCATCATCCATTATGTTACATTACATACATCATGTTTGTAAGAAGTCTTCATATTCTCTGTTAGTTGTGTTAGTGTTCATATGCTTGTTGCATTACAGCTGTGACCTTATTTATTTTTATTTTATTTTTTATTTAAAGCCACAGGAGCAAGACATATTACAACATTAACTTTTAGACAATTACTTTGAAAACATTAAAGCGCGTTTTTGTTTTTGCTTTGCTCCAAAGGGTTATAATTTAAAGTAATTTATAAAATGTAAGGAATTTGGTTTTAGGAAAATGTTTAATTTTCTAATAAAAAATTTGCATAATGTATTATTTTTTACATTACAATATGTCATTCTGAAAAGCAGATGAAATACATACATTTCAATTATACATCCCAGTTTTTATGGTAATATAGGTTTTAAACGCTAAAGTCCTAGCAGCGTGTATTCCTGTGTCGTCATCGACGGGCGGCGGTGATTGGCTGCGGAGCGCAGATAGCCACGCCCACCCTCGCGGGCCGCTGGTGGGGCTCTGAGTGAGCGCATGATGGAAGCTTGATCCCGTGAGCAGTGAACTTGTTCATTTTAAACGGGGCATGAACGGCAAAACGGAGAGAGTGCAACTTTAAGGAAAATAAACAAGAGATATGGTGGACAAAACACACGGGGTTGACTTTTCCAAGAAACATTTTGGGACGACAGCCAATGGTAAGATAAGTTTTTCTTTTAATTCAATTAAATTAAATTTTATTATAATGGTGATTGTTATGTAATTTGATTGATTGAGTTTACCCCTACCAGATAACTTAAGAACTCTTTAAGTGTCATTTTCCCTTTGCCACTAATTTAAAATGATCCCATTACTAATAATTTTGTATAGCCTAATGTACCACTTACTGTATTTATAGTAGGAAGGATGAAGTCTTGTGTTTCTGCCTTTCTTTTTTTTCTGTTTTCGGACAGAAATAAATACAGAAGGAGAGATTTTAGGAGGAGAGGAGTCAACAACAGGAAAGTTTTTATTTGGACATGGGTCACTGGTCTTTAAGTGCTTGTAAAATGTGAACTTTTGAACTTGGGGAAACCTGCACCCCCCCACCCAGCAAACTCTAGAATCATTTAGGAATTTGAGGCCACATTACGACTTTATCTAAACAGCCTCCTTATCTGTACCACACCACACCTTAAATACGTCTTAAAAATGTATTTATTTCAGTTTAAATGAAAGTTGCATTCAAAGAGAATGGCCTGATTGTACCATTATGCCTTGGACTAGAATAATAAAACAGAAAATTCGGTTATCATTTACTCACCCTCATGTCTTTCCAAACATGGATGACTTTCTTTCTCGCATGGAACAAATATATTTTAAACTTTTAAAGGATGTCCTTAAGACTATTTTTCCATAGAATAAAGGTGAGTAGGAACTGAGGCTCTCATACTCCAGAAAAGACAAAAATAAATCTACAAAATGCATTGTAGCAGGTCAAGAATCGCCATGGTCTGATGTCACAGCAGCCGCGCTATATTTGAATATATGTGGACGTGTTGAGAGTTATGGCAGAGGGGAATTTTTAATGATGAATTATATAATTCATTTATTTATTTGTTTTCAATTTCAGTCTGTCCTTGGAAGCGCACATATCGCATTGTGGACCTTTTGCACTTTTATGGTGTTTTCATCATTTTTGGAGCTCAACAGTGTCAGTGTGAACTATGGAAAAGAGCAGCTTTTCTGCTAAAGTTCTTTTGTGTTCAGCAAATGAAATCGTAAGGGTTTGGAATGACTTGAGGGTGAATAAATGATGCCAGTATGTTGAGAGGATCAATTCTTTTAATGTAATTTTGTATTTTTTTATTATAGTCTGATCAATGCAGCTCTAGAGAATTAAAGATTTAAAATAATCAATTTGCACATGTTACACCAAATTACACCAGGATTGTCAAATAGTTACAAGTGTGTCTGTGATTTAAAAAATATGCCAACTAACACAACAGGTGAATAGTACCACCTATTTTTTAAGGGTGTTGGACAGAGAAAATGAGCCTGTGAGAATTGAATGAGCTGTTTCTCTCTTGTCCTTCAAACCCCCAACCATAAAGCCATTCTTCCTTGTTCCTTGGATTAAATGTCCCAGGAGACCCCACTTGTTCTTATTCTCTAAGGTTTGTAAACAGCCAATCAATAAAGGCATTCAAACCAGTTTTTACACATTGGGGCTTCTATCACAATATGGCTTTATATAATAAGTATCTTCACCACATAAAGTGTAAATTTGCTTGGAATCTAGAGCCAGGTGGTTCATAATTGCACGTGATGTAACAGGTTGCCATACATTAAAATATCCATGCCACCATAGCTTTTTTTTTGTTTTTCTAATCTAAATGAAATCATTGTTTTACTCCACAACTCGGCAAATGCGGCGAGCTTTAGAGATGGGACGGGTTTCTTATCGACACCTTGCGATAATTGGCTTAGGTAGGAGAGATTAGAGCCATAAAATTCAGTTGTTTGATCTCAGAGGGTTGTCTGATGATCTTTTGCCCAGAGGCAGAAGGAAAGAGCATCTTACTGGGTCATGTTGTGTAGACTGCAACCTAATACCAGGAAGCTGAGGTGATATGCAGAGCCATTGCTATGCTAATGGACCCTTTTAATGTCACACAGCCCAAGGTCATTCGCCTTCCACCTTTGGCTTGTATAGAAGAGTGAAGGGTGAAGGCTATCCTCTCATGTGGCTGGCAGTCAGATGTGGTTTATATATACTGTATATATATATATATATATATATATATATATTTTTTTTTTTAACAAAGTATGTTTCATATGTCTGTTTTGTTGTGTGTATGAGACATTCTGTGTCTACATTTATAACTGTATGCAAACTGTATATAATTTTATGATTTTCTCAATGCAGGTTTCTGTGGTGATCTATTGGATGCAGAGGAGCAAGGTAAGGTAAATTAATTTTTTAAACAAAGAATTTGTAAAGTGTGGGTTAGATCAAACTATAGTTCTCTTTTTTTGTTGTTGATTAATTTACTTTTGCTATGCTCGTTTTTAATAAAAGACATTAAAAGGAATTTATGATAGATTTCCAAGTTAAGAAATATCACTATTTGATGCCCGTGTGGCTGTCAGTCTGTGCTGTCAACCCAGGTTATAGTGTGTCAACATCAAATGTCCACCAGGGGGCTTCCTATCATCTCCAATCCATTCTACAAACAAAATGTTGCTTAACATGTATTTGTGCAGATATAAATGTTGTGTTGTGTTTGTGTTTGCCATACTTATGATTACTAAATTTGCTGAGTGAAATGCAATGCAATCCTCCAATCCAATTCAATCAAGTCTGTAAACACTTGCTGTGTCCGAAATCAAAAGAAGCTGTAATTTTGCTTCAAGCTGTAACATTACATAAATTGATCTAAAAGCAGTTCTCTTTTGAAAAATAAATAAATAATAATAATCAAACCTCAGGATTGTGAGATATCATTGCCAGTGAAGAGTACATCTGACCAGCATCTTACACGACTGAATGCAACAAAAGATTTGATGCCTTCCGGCTTCTGTATATCACTTTAGGCAGGCAGCATTTTTCTGCTTTCAGACTGAGCTTGGAATTTCGTGTTGCATTCCAGGATTGTGTATTCCAGTTTTGACCTCTGACCTTTGTTGTAAACATTTGACTGGCTCCATGAATAATAATACACTCGTACTGACTATCCAGTTAGATTGCTTGGATAACATTCTTCACAGTGTATTGATTGGCTATTTCTATATGTGAATTTCAATACGTAAATTTGCCTCCTGAAATCTCTGTGATTGGAACATGATGAACATGATATCAGTGCAAACTCAAATTTAAAGTTTGGTTTTGTATGTTAGATGCCTTTTTTTTTTATATTATGCCAACATGCTAAATAGCTGATTATCCATTTTTTATGTGTTTGTAATAGTTTCAGAAAGTAAACTAGAGTAAATTAGATCCGATATCAGAAATGTCTTTTTAATGTGAACCAGCAGAGTGACATATTTTAATTTTAGCCCACTAACTTTGGTTGAGTTGCCTAAAAGTGGCTGAATCGATAGTTTTCACAGATCTCTATATGTCCAGGTTCATCTCAAGTACATTTCTTCCTCTTTTAGTGTTCCTCTTTTATTCTCTACAGACTCTATTGCTTTCTGTCTTTCTCCCTCCTTCTGCTTTTCTCTATTTGTACGCTGCGGTGCCAGGTGGTGGCTGTAAGAGGAAAGGGTCATTTTCAGTTCAGCCATTGCTGACCTCTGTGTGACTGCTGCACGTAAACCTCTGGGAAGCTGTGACGAGGGAAAAGAGGCATGAGGGACCTGTTGATGCAGCACACCAGAGAAAGGGCTATTGTTACTGAGGGCTGTGATTGAATTATGAGGTAAAGCGTGATGTGCTGTAAACGTAAGGGTGACATTAGCACTGCACTCTGACAGGTTACTGGGTGAAATTGGATATTTGAGACAAGATATGATTTTATTAATCAGGAATTGATTAGATGGTGAAGTGGCTGTTACGTACCTAAATGATTATACAGACCGAATGTGAGCTTGCCAAATCTGTGATGACATGGATTTTTTTTTTAAAGAAGAACAAATTATTATTTATATTGAAAGATATAGATCAAAAGATGAAAACTAACAATATTTAGAATAATATCCACCAATGAATAATGCACAATGTGACCAGGAATGAAAAGTTTTGATTGACTGATTGAACCATTTAACTTGGTCTGGCATTTCATTCCTTTTTACATATTTTATATCTGCATTTTTTTTTCTGTATCAAATTTATATTGTCTTTAACCATAAAGATGCCAACCAAGTTGATCAGTACTAATACTGATTACTCAAAGCCACAAACTTTATGCACAAGATATGCAAAAAAACAACGTTATGTTCTGCAAGACCCCCCTTTCCATTAAAGTCCATTTCCATTGGACTGTCCTGCTTTTAATCCAAGTAGACACTATTTTTATTCAGTAAGCTCACTTAAGGTCTTGTTATGGAAGATTTTTACTAGGCCTAGAAAAACATTTGAGAAGTTTTATCTTCTAATGTAAATGTAAATGTGAAACATCTTGCATAATCATAAGGGCTGTATTTTTCTTTTTGTTTGTTTTTATTTTACTGTATTTATGTGTTTTTTCCATGAAAATAGCCCACGTTGCTGACATGGCATTAAAAAGCTCTACTGCTACTGCTATTCAAACTTTATGCAGTATCTGGGACTGGGAGTTCTGGGAGTACAGGCATTTAACAGTCCACCGGGAAACAAAGTCATGGTTATAGCTTCCCAGACTTTTACAATAAACACTTCAGTGGGAAAAACGTGTTGCTGGATTTGGAAATTCTATTTAAAAAGACATATTCTGAATATTAAACCTTTTTTTGGCTGGTTTATGAAAATGTGAATACTCTAATAACTATTTCAATAAATTATAAATATTTGCGGTGTCATATAGCGACTTATGGGAATGTTCTATTGATTTTCACCATAAATTATATAATTCATAGTTTTGCTAGCAAATTAAGTATTTTGTAGTAAATTACAAATAAATCAATGTTAAACCATTTATATTTACAGTTGACAGTACAGTAATAATTCAGTTAACTTATTAACAGGGTTTTTACTATTGCATTTTTTACAGTCTTTTCCTGTAACATTTTAACAGTATATTGTTTCGAAAAACGCTTTTTTTTTTCCTTTTTTTACCCTTTTCAAGGTATAAAATGACACTAAAATGTGTTTTAGAACCTAAAACCACCCTGTACTCTAAACTTAGCACCACTCAACAATATGAAACTAAATAGAAAGGCAATTGCACAGCAACATTATTTTAATTGCAATATACTATACATTACATTAGCCATGTTGATTTGGTAGTACTTGAGGTGTTAAATAGTTTTTTTTTTTTGTCACTGCACATCCCCCTTCATTCTGTCAAGTCTGAAACCCAAATCCAGTTGCAAAGTAAACACACACACTCTCTCTCGCTCTGTGTGTGTGTGTGTGTGTGTGGGGGCATGTGGGTTTTGCAGGCTAAGTTCAGCATTAGTTTCAGTGCTAATAGAGTTGTGTAGGGCCTAAACCCCAAATAAAAGAAAAGCACTGCCCTTAATCTGAGCAACCTGTCAACTTCCTGATCCATCCCTCTGGTTTCCATGGATACTCCAGCTCCCCGTCCAAACCCCAGTGTGTGTGGCTGGCGTGACCAATGGGATTAAGGGGAAAGGGGGCCAGTCAGCACGCTGGGTGCTGTGTTAAAGCCGAGGAGGCATCAACTGTTTTTGTTTGGATTTGTGGACAGGGTCACCACACTTGCCGTTGGGATGTTGTGTCTGGCACAAGGGTTGTGTTGTGTGACCTGTGCATGCCAAGGACACACACACACACACACACACACACACACACACACACAGTTTCATTATTTGCGGCAAGTATCGCATATGCACTGACAATGTTTCTACACCATTTTGTTTTCATTTGAAAACACACACACACACACACACACACAATGAACACACACCCATAGCAGTGGGCAGCCATGTCCTCCGGTGCCTAGGGAGCAGTTGGGGGTTCGGTTCCTTGCTCAAGGGTCTCACCTCAGTCACCTCACCTCAAGGGCCACGAAATGCTCTAACCATTTGGCCTAGATAAATTAATTAAATTTGATTTAATGTGTAAAAATGTATGCTGATACGAAAAAAATAAACGTTCACCTTTTTACAAATGCTAACCGCTTGTGTACCCCTTGCATCTCTCAATCACATGCAGCTGTATATAATGGCCTTATTCTAAATATATGGGCACCTGACAATAATTATGAGCAGTTTGCTAGATTAAGGGGTGACATATGTTACCTACTGACACATCTTACTTCACTTTCTCCTTGTACTCTAGACACAAAGTCAGTGTTTTATATGAGCAGATGTAGTTTTGTGTGGGTTTTATTGTTATGCTGATGTTGAGGCAAGCACAAGGGGTCAGTAGAGAGCAGCAGGCTGACTATAAAGGGCTTTTGCACCTCATGTGCCCTTGATGAACTCAGCACCCAGATGCAGACAGTTGGCTCTGTTCCAACACATGCTTCTCTGCTGTCCTCACATAACGGGGCCAAACACATACCTTCCCTCTCTCTTCTTCTCTCTCAAACACCATTTCTTGCTTTCCCCATTGAACTTGATCTATTTTCAAAAGTTGGCCGGAGGTGCATTTTTAATTTAAAGTTTCCATACTTTTTTAGTTTATGTGTTTTGGGTTGTTTTATGAAACATGTCTTTTCTAGTTTGATAAGGTGATTTTTAATAATAATAATGTTTTATTTTTTTATAGCACCTTTCTGAAATGGATTTGATTTATAAAGATAGATCAACAAATGGACAAATAAATAAACATACTTAGCACTTTAGCACTTTAACACTTTAGCAAAACTAAAGTTCACAGACCAAGAGCTGAAGAATAATATTCAGAAAAAAAGTGTTTTTATTTTGTAGAATTTTAAACATTCTAACAGACATTTAATGTTTAAGCAGTAATAATTTGCATTTTGCTCAAGCTATATATGAACTAGCATATAATATACATTTAATATGCGTTGGGATATAATTATGCCTTCAGTAAGGTAACAAGGTTGACCGTTTCATTTAGTCATTAGAGGCCTTGTTTCAATTGTAAGCTAGTGAAACTACAAAGTGCTACTAAGAGAGAATGTAATTATGATATTTCTCTATATATCCACTTATCAGTTGTAAATGATTTACAAACACAGCCACTGGATTTTCTAGAAATATGAGCATTTTGCAATAAAATTGTAAGAAAAAATTATATAAAGTGATTAAAAGAGGAGATTTTGCTTAAAGGAAGGATGATGCCATTAAGAATATTTTTTAATTTAATTACGGTAAATATATAGAGAAATT